GGAAGATGAAGAAGCGGCTCGTTTTGTGGGAGGCTTGGATGTTGTTGAGAGGGTGGAGGGGGCGGGCAGAGCGTTGAGCAGATCGAGGGCATTGAGGATCCAGTAGCAGAGCCAGGGCCGCGATGCGTCAAGCGACGAGTAGCCGCCGGGGAGACCGCGCAGGCCACGGCCTGCGTAGGACGCGTGCTGCAGGCGACAGAGCCCCACTCCATCCTCATTGTAGTCTTCGAAATCATCGGAAGGGTCGTCCTCATCTTCCAATGATCGGCCATCGGTTGGCGTCTCATCCACGTAATCCTGGAAGGGCAATCGATGCGACGATGCTGGCACAGGAGAGTCTGCCAAGGCGCGCCTCAAAATGTGAACGATCGTGCGCTCAACCTTGCCCTGTTCGAAAGAGGTTGGGGTGACTTCCTCCCGATACGCCTCATCGCCACCATCTCTATCCATCTTCTATTTCCTATTTCTCTCACAAGTTATCTTTTGTTTTCTCTTGGTCTGGCTGGTGGAGAACACAACGTGACGAGACCTCAGATAAACGACCCAACACTTCATTCGCGGCTGTGCCAAACAATCGATGTTCAATCAATCATCCACCCGGCACTGATCCCCTCTCCACCCTTCCCATTCCAGTATAGATAGTTGTCTTTGACCTCCTTGCTTTAGGCTTGGTTCACCCTGGTCAGGAAGTCCGCAGCCTGGTGGGTAGTTCACGTCATGGTCAGTTCAGTGTTTGGGAGAACATGTTAACATCCTTCACTCGGCTTTGCTGGTGGGCGCTGTGAGGGTACAGTCGTGTGGTGGAACGTACTTGCGAGTTTCTGTCGATGATGCATTCATCGAGGAACTGGAAGGAGTGGAGGGCAGCCGGAGCGAGGTTCACGACGTTCGAGATGCTCTCGCACGAATGCTCGGTGCTTTCGAAGAGAATGTTCTATGTGGTGTGGTGGTGTGAGTGCTATCAAAGTTGATGCCATGGCCGACATCAATGAGGGGTACCTGAAGCAGGGCGATCTTCTCCTTGAGCTTATTCAGCTTCTTCACGTTCCTGGCGATGGCGTCCTTGAGCATGAGGTCGCTGATGGTCTCGAAGGTCCACTCCTTGTGCTCCTTGCAGCTCAGCCATACTGTCCCCCCCTCTTTGTAAGAAACAACAAAGCCTCACTCACCAAGAAGGAGCCAAGCAGGTCTTTAAGCGAACCAGAGTATCGGAAGTCGACGAAGACACCGTCGATGGGCTGAGCAGGCGAGTAGCTGATCTCGAGCTCATCGCCGAACTCGCCAACGACGACGTTCTCGTCCATAGCCCAACCGCTGGCGGGCACGAACGAGGTGTCGACGCAGCCTGTTCATGGAAGGAGAGGAGTGAGGCCACGCTCTTGTTATTTTGAAGCAGGAAGGCTCAATAGAGTACCAAAGAAAAGGCCGTCCTGCGAGCAGAGGGCCTCCAGGTTGAACTGGACCGGGGTGTCGTTCCTGTTGACGTTGGTCACCGCGGCAGTGATGTGCTCTGGGATGGGGACGATAGGCAGGGAGCGTCACCAACGTGCCAAGGTGGAGGAAGTCAGTGTTGAAGGAAGAAGAAGAAGAAGAAAGAGAAGAGAAAAGAATGGACGGCAGGGCTGGGCGGGGCACCAGCGTTAGCGGCTCCGCAGTCAATGATGAGCACGCACAGAGGCGAGCCATAGTAGGAGTTGGACACGCCCTGAAGATGGGCAAAGTTGGCGGCTGCAGGTACAACGAGAGCAGAACGAGAAAGATGAGAACATAGAAGAAGAAAGCGAAGGGGGGTACATTTAGATTAACCCCCCCCCCATGCGAGGTGAGTGCAGTGCGTACGCTGGCCGGGCTCGCTGTCGATTCGCACCACCTTGTTGTGTTCGTTGAGGATGACGCCTGGAATACCGGTTTCGCTGTATCCCGGGGGAAGGGGGGCGGTGGGGTCGTAGTCCATCAGCCGGTCGAACGTCGCGCACTGCTTCCCGCTCGCCGCCACCACGAAGAGGGCGACCATAAGAAGTCCGAGAAGCTTCATAATCCTGCACCCGCCCGAGGTAGAGGTAGATAGGTAGCGAGAGATAGACAGAAACAAAGGAGAGCATCAACAAACAAAGATCAATAATCCACCTTGAAGTGGTTCGAAAAACTAATCTCGATTCTATCCTCTTCTGCTCCGATTCCACTTTTTCGTTTCACCCAGCCTCGCAGCAGAGAAGATGATTCGAGGGGGTCGCGAACCTGTAGAGAGCGGCTCGTCGCCTTCTGTTTTTTCTTCTGGTGGGTCAAGCGATCTCACACAGAGCGGTCTTCTCCGATGCCAACCCCCTTTTATCCCGCCTTGGCGGCTGTTGGGTGAACACCACGAAATTTCCTTTTTCCTTTTACCTCACACCTACCTAAATCGGACTTTCCTTTCTCGTCCACACGAAGCCAGATAAGAAGGACCACCACCTTCCACTGACAGACAAAGACAAGGGATAGGCAGAACAGTAGAGAGATAGATAAGATTGGTTAGGTAAGAGATTGATGATGGATGAGTCCGACTTTATCGTCGTTCATTGGGAAGGAAGGACGGACGTGGCGCTGGGCTTGGTGAGGCTGCCCTCCGAGGTGGATGTGGACCTGACCACCCTGCGCTCGATGGTCGAGAGCCAGGTCGAGGCCATCGCCCTCCAGCGCAGGACCGGGGCGGGTAAGGACTGGGACTACCGGTTCATGATGCCCAACCGCGGGGCTGTGGCCGCCTCCGAGAGGATGGAGAAGGGGCGGGTGGTCAGGAAGAAGCCCAGTGCGGCCCCGGCCTACGTGCCCATCGGACGCAAGCAGGAGATCGAGATGTTCCTCTCCGACCTCCTCATCGGCTCTCCCGACAATGTCAGTCCGTCGATCGTGCTGCGTTCCGTCAAGGCCACCGACGAAGACAAGCCCGCCGACTCGAAGCCCGAGAAGAAGCGCCGGTGCGTCTTCAACACCGTCGTGGGCCTGATGGTCGCCGCCGCGTTCCTCTTCCTGGCTTTTCACTCGGGTCTCAGCGCTCATGGGCCGCATCACCACCACGACGACCACCATCGCCCGTGGGGCGGCCAGCAGACCCAGCCCGAGCCCCCGCACCCGTGGTGGAACGAAGGTAACCCGGGACTAGGCGCATACCCTGGTGACGGTGGCGCGTACCCCGGCGCTGGTGGTATGGACTACGGCAAAGAAGTGAACTATGACAACCCGATGCCGGTGTACGGCCTGCCGCCTTCCCAGCCGCAGGTGGCCATCCTCATCATCGAGGAGGTCGAACTGCCACAGCAGCAGCCGCCGCTGGTGATGGAGGATCAGCCGATCAAAGTGGACGTGCCGGCGGGCTGGCTCGTGATGAGCCCGGAGGACGCCTGGTCGGGCGCACCTTCATCGGAGGCAAGTGACATGGGCTGGAACAGCGAGGAGGCCTCCTCCTCCGACACCGCCATCAACATGCCCGCGCCGATCGACCGCCGTAGGTCCCAGGTCGGCGACCAGGCCTCGTCGTCCGACGAGATGCAGATCCAGATCGATGTGCCGGTGCTGATGATGATGCCGCGCGAGGAGCTCCCCAACCCACCTTCGGGCGGTGCCTTCGCCGATCCGGCGCAGTTCCCACCGCCGCCCCAGTACCACGTCGACCCGGTCCCGCCCCGCGACTACGGCCGCGACATCAACTACGTCCG